CAGACTATCAAATTCCTTGCTCTGGAATGCCCCCCCCCCCCCGATTTTAATGTCTTCCATAAGCTAAATAGATTTCTAAATAAGGATGAGTTTTCGCAAGGCCAACGGAAGCCTTGAACATCAATTCCTCTTCGTGTCAAGAGTGGCATGAAGCAATACAAAATCATAAAGGCTGTAGCAAAAACAGTACCCTTGAGGAGCAACTATCCGTGGAAAGAGAACTGCACTTCTCCTGCTTAGGAAATGCTCAAGGTTTGTAAATTAATTCCAGGTGATGGCCCAGCTCACCTGCCTTTTGGGCATCAGGGACCGGTTCCATGGAGAGAGGTTTTTCCGTGGACCGGAGGGGGTATGTTTTCACGTGCCGCCTGCATCCCATGGATGGGGTTTTTCTTCTTTGCGTGGCCCAGTTTCTGGCATGTTGTGGCTGGGTGCTGGTCCATGGACCGAGGTCTGGGGACCCGTCGTAGAGGACCTGACACCTTACCTGGTGGGATCAGCTTGCAATTCTGCAAACTTATCTTTCAGGTAAGACCATGTTTAGAAGCAGCTTATCTCTGACTCTCAATTGCAGTCACTGGGAGTGGCTGCTATCTTCATCTTGGGATGTCTGATACAAGCATCTAGTTCAGGGGTCTCCGGTCCGTGGACCAGTACCAGGCTGTGGCATGCCAGCAACCGGTCCACACAAACAAGCAAAGCCCCATCTATGGGATGCAGGCAGCACACAAAACCACACCCCCTCCGGTCTGCGGAAAAAACCTCTCTCCATGGAACTGGTCCCTGGTGCCCCAAAGGTTGGGGACCTCTGATCTAGTTGATCTACAGCAGTGGTTCTCAACCTTTTTAATGCCGCGACCCCCAACCGGTCGTAAGTTGAGGACTAAACCGGTCATAAGTCGAGGACTAAACCGGTCGTAAGTCGAGGACTAAACCGGTCATAAGTCAAGGACTACCCAACCGGTCGTAAGTCAAGGACTTTCCCTGCCCAGGAGCGCCGCGCATGCGTGGTTCCGCCCCCTGCGCTGGCCGAGGCGTAGCTGGCAAGCGGCAGAGACGGAGCAGGCCAACCACCAGCTGGCCCAGCCCAAGGGAGGTAAGGCACCCACCGGAAAAGGGGAAAAATATGGCGGACAGCCTTGCTTGGCGACCCCCGTGAAATGGTCGATCGACCCCAAATGGGGTCGCGACCCATAGGTTGAGAACCGCTGATCTACAGGAAAGTGGATTCAATCTGCCTGTCGCTGGAGCTGCAAGGCAATGGTTGTAGTCCCGCCTCGGTCTGTTCTCATGACAAATTAGTCAACTGTAATTGGGCTTCGCTTTTGCAAACCACTTAGGGAGAACATTTTTTAAAAAAAACTGATTTAAGTTGGTGCAAGTAAAGTACCGTGTAACCATAGGATTGAAACTCCCTCTGTGGTTTAGTTCTTCATCTGGGCTACACAAGTTCACAGCAGGCAGTTGCACTGGCTCAAAGAGTGGGAAGCGCTGTAATACACAGACTGAAATTTGATTTGATAGGATAGCTTTATTGACAAAGTGTGATTAGACACACAAGAAATTTGTCTCTGGTGCCTCTGCTTTCAGTGTACATGCAAAACAACAAAGTGATAATAAATCAACACAGGATAATAATTATAATAATATTTAAGATTTAATTATTTAAAGGTGGGCCTTGACTTACAAGCATTGTTTAGCGACTGTTCAAAGTTACAACCGCCCTGAAAAAAATGCACGTTCTTGCATTTATGACTGTTGCAGCATCCTTGTGGTTGTGTGATCAAAAGCTGGGTGCTTTGGGCCAACTGATGGTTTGCAATTAACGTTTTGAGCCTTGTCTGCTTTCAAACCACGTTTTACACCTTAGGAATCTGAGTGAATCAAACTAACAGTGGTTGCTTCCATGTAAGTTATCAGATCTAGATTGCAAAACTAGTGTATTTTCTGCATTATTTCTGCTGCCATCCGACAGTTATCCTGAGTTTTCCAATGCCAGGCCTGACAACCCCAAAGCGGCTGAACAATCCTGCTTGGTGTCTGGACTACAGCGCTAGTAGGCATTTGAGCAATCTTCTTCAGTCTTCTGAAACTAAAGTCTTGCTTGCTTGATGCTGGTGTATGGTTGAAAAATAGTTACTGCCTGTATTTGCACATAGCAAACCATAGCACGGTAGGCTTAGTTTTAGCTTCGTTGTGTGAATGCAGCCACTCTGGTTAGGAGTTTTTCAGCTATGCAGGCGCGGTGAAGCCAAGACGACAGTTTCCACTTTCAACTGACCAAGAAGCAAAAAGGACCAAATGTAGTAGTAGTAGTAACAACAATAATAATAATGATGTCCAAAAACTTTGCAAAATACATCAAGAAACCGCAGCTTCCTGCAATAACTCCAGCAATGTTACAAAAAACTGCGCTACTCGGAACATCTTATATTTTAAGGAGGTACCTGGTTGACACCTAGGATGCTGGTAGCAACCAGTGTCAAGCATCAGCGCCAGCCAATTTGAATGTTCAGTTGACTGAGGTTCATGTTTAATGAATAAATAATAATAATAATAATAATAATAATAATAATAATAATAATAATAATAATAATAATACCACCAAAATGCCAAATCCAGTTTGAACATCTGGCTGACTGTGCGATGATCAATAATAATAACAACAACAACAATAATAATAATAATAATACGACAAAAATGCCAAATCCAGTTTGAACATCTGGCTGACTGTGCAATGATCAATAATAATAATAGTAGTAGTAGTAGTGATGATGATGATCGACAAGAGAAGGATGCTGATCTTGGCTCATTCAAGACTAGCCATCTCGGGCTGCCTCTACCCCAATCTCTCTTTACAGACACCCAAGTCCCAACACCTTCCACAAGTTTCCTCGGCCGGCCAAGCGAGCGTCCCCCCACCCCGCCGGCTTCTCTCCAGCTCTTCCTCTCCCCGCAGGCGACCCTCCAACCTTTTTGCAAGCGGGCTGCCCCTACACACACACACACACACACAAAGGGCTCCCACCCCTGGCGGCCCGAGCCCAGAGACACGTGTACGCCCGGCCCTGGGAAGGCAGAGCGAGGTCGGGGGAGGGTACCAGCGTCTCCTGGCGCCCTTCTCCAGCAGCCCCACCAACTTCCCCGCTGCCTAAGCGACTTGGCCGCCGCCTCCACCGCCAACCGGGCGCCCGCAGCACGGAGAGCGCGGCGGCTCCCTCCGACCCCCTCCCCCTCGGGCTGGGACCGGCGGACCCCCGGGTGGGCGGGGCCGAGGCGGACCCCTCCCACAACCCCTCGGGCCGCCTGGTCCCGGGGGGGGCGCGCGCGGGGGGCGGGGCGGGGCGAGAGAGGCGGCGCTTGGACTGACCAGCGGGCGCCGCCGCCGCCGCCGCTCCCCGGGCCAGGGAGGGGGCGTGTCCCTGGCCGGGGAGGGGGCGTGTCCGGCGCGGGGTCCCTCCCCCGCCTGGCCGCGCTCGCCGGCTGCCTTCGCCTCCTTTCCTCGAGGAGCGCGAACAGTTTGGAGGAAAAAGTGGAGGCGGCCGGGTTGGATGCGGATGCGGCGGCTGCCGACGGCGACGCCGAGCCGGGCGGCCGGGGCGGAGTAGAGAGCATGGCCGTCTCTTCCCCGCCGAGCATTCCCGCAACTTCCAGCGGAGGCGGCGGCGGAGGAGGAGGCAGCAGCAGCAGCAGCAGCGCCGGGGGAGGCGGCGGCGGGAGTAGCAGCAGCGGCGGCGGCGGCGGCGGTGGCAGCGCGGGGGTCTCGACCGGCTTGTTCCGGGCGGTGGAGCCGCTTTATTCCTCCAGCCCCTCCGAGTCCCCGCGGCTGGCCGGCGGTGGCGGCGGTGGCGGCGGCAGCAGCGGCAGCCTCATCCACGGCTTCCTCTCCTGCAGCGCGGCGCCCGCGGGCGTCGGCGTCGTCGGTGGCGGGGCGTCGGGGGCAGCCGGCGGGGCCCCGTCCTCGCTCCCGGGGGTGGTCGGGGGCACCGAGTGCCAGATGGTCGACCTGCACGGGGTGAAGGTGGCCTCCTTCGTGGTGGACGGGCAGGAGCTGATCTGCCTGCCGCAGGTCTTCGACCTCTTCCTCAAGCACCTGGTGGGCGGGCTGCACACCGTCTACACCAAGCTGAAGCGGCTGGACATCGCGCCCGTCGTCTGCACCGTGGAGCAAGTGCGCATCCTGCGCGGGCTGGGCGCCATCCAGCCGGGCGTCAACCGCTGCAAGCTCATCACCCGCAGGGACTTCGAAACTTTGTACGGCGACTGCACCAACGCCAGGTGAGCGCGGGTCTCTGGGGGTGTGTGTGTGTGTATGTGTGTACACGTGTGTGTGTGTATGGGGGGGTTGGGAGACGAGGCCAGTCGTTTGGGGCGTAGAGAAGGGAGGGAGGAAGCAGCCCCTTCGGACCCCTTGGAGTAGAGGGGGGGAAAAAGCCCGCCTTGGCGAGCGAATGCGCTTCGGAACGTGTGAACGGGGTTACGGGCGTGCGGGGTGCGAGAGAGGTCGCGCTTAGTGGCCTGGGTCTCTTAACCGGGGGCTTTGTGATTCCCCCACCGCCCGCTCCGGCTTGCGGTTAAGAAGGAGTCCAGCTTAGCGGCTCTTTTGCGTTTAGAAAGTGAGATACACACAATATAATAGTAAACAAATGAAGGAAGGAAGGGGAGAAAGAGAGAGAGGGAAGGCCAGGATCTGATCTGTACCGCCTCTGGCATCTGGGACCTTTTTTTTTTTTTTAGAAACCGGAGCAAGTCCGAGAAGAAACCTTTTTTTTGGGGGGGGGGGAGTTTGCTGCCTGGGATCGTGGGGACAACTTGCAAACGGGGAGTGGGGAACTTAAGGAGTGGGGGACAGCTTTGGACCCCTCCTGCCTGCCTGCCTCGATTGGGGAGGGGGGTGTTCATTTCAGATAAAAAGAAGATTTTTTTTTTTTTTAGGAATTCCTGGTCTCTCCAAATGACTTTGTCTGGGACTGTTGAGATTTGAACCCAAAACTTTGTGGCTGAAAATGGGGGGCCTTTGGAAGGCAAAGGGGAGGGAGTCGAGAGAGGGGAGGAGAGAGGGGGTGCCATGGTCCAACTTTTAAGCAAGGTTCTGGGAAATTGGCTCCATCCTACAGTAAAAGAAGTAGCTTCTTTGAGATGGTGACCTAAGTTGCAAAAACAACTTTACTGTTGTCAAGGAACAAGGCTGGTTGCAAACCATGAGATTTGACCACAGTGATGCCAGCCACTTATTAAGTCCCCATGCGGACAATGTGGAGTTAAGCTCATGCTTTAAAATAGGAGGCATTTGATTTCAGGGGTGTTGCAGGACATAAGGCTTTTGCACCCTTGCCTCCAAGCAAGTGGGAGTGGGCACAGACTTTTGGGATTTAAGGCCAGGTTGCACATTATGCTTTAAAATAAATTCCACTTTTTTTTTTAAAGATGCTTCTGGGTGCTCTTAATTTTGGCTTGGGGAAAAATGAGGGTCTCCTTTGGAACTGGAAGATTTTTTTTCTTCATTAGGACACTGTTGAATTCCACTTCAGTTTCCATATCCAGTTCAGAGTTATGAAGTTTAATCTTCTTTAAAAGATCCACCCTTTGGAGGAAAGATTGACTATTGAATAGAGAAATAATTTGGAAAAAAGAGCTTCCGAGGTTGCATTTAACAGGAACATCTTAAAACAGTTTTACCTAGAGACAACTTCTTCTGACTTGACAAGGATAAGTTGAAGAAGTGAAAGAGGACAATTTCAATTTCCTTTAACCCTTTTCTCTGAATTTTGCATATTGTATCTGCTCTAATAGAAAAAAATCTCTTTGGGATAGAAACTGCTTAGAAGCTGGTTGTTTGCTTGAGTTTTAAGTTTCAGGAGATTGGGATAAAGGGCTGCTGGACATCTTAAATAGTCACATCTTAGTAGTGGTAGATCCAAAGATCCTCGGATCTTTGCTGGGTTCACATGTGGCAAGACAAACTGGGTTGCAATTTGAAGATCCTTCCATAAGGAAAAGATCCAAGCAAGGTTTATGCAGACCACCATCTGCTCTCCGGAGTCCTTGGCTGTAAACCCCAGAAATGGGACAAACCTTTATTGCATGCTGGTTCCCCAGAGGGGAGTTGTGGTTGAATGAGATTATGTAAAGCAGGGAAAAAAGCCCGGAGCAAATTTTCTTAAAGAAAGATGATCATATAGTAATATTGGAAATAATTTGGTTTAATGTCCTTATTGCAAAAATCTTTGCAATATTCATAGGAGAGATACGCGAGTCTGTCTGCTCAGTCAAAATACAACCAAGAAAATATGCTTTTATATATACATAGAATAGAAAGAGGTCGGATTAATTCAAGGTTTTGGCAATTGTTTTTTGTGTTTGTTAACACAAATGAAAATCTGCATTTCTTTCATTAAGACACCAAAAATATGCTTGGTCTTCGAATTTTACGTATATGGGACTAACCCCAGTCCCTTTGTTATGAAACTTTAAAACTTCGTATTTTCTTAAATACTTGGAATTATACTTTGCAATGCACAAAGACGATGTCACCTTGCAGATTACTTGAAGACATTAGGAGTCGTGTAAGCTCAGAACTGAATGTCCACTTAGAAACTGTTCCTTAGTAAAGCAAAATAAAGGAATATTCTCAAAAGTAGTATTTGCCCTACAGTCTCCTGAGTTATTGAAATACCTAGAAAGTGGCTCTCAAATAGTATAGTTCTTTTATCTCAGACTGTGAAACAATATGTAGAAAAGTTTTCTCCATATTGTAAGTGTACAAGAACATTCAAAGCAGAGGAAGTTTTCCGTGGGAATAAGATTAGGGAGGAAAAAAAATCCCAATTCTGATCAAAATGACCAAACTCTCTCAATTTTTAAGAAACTAAGCTGCCACAAAGCTGATTTTCTTGTTAATGTGCCTGCTGAGATCCTAGAATGAATACAAAGCTTGCAGACTTTTCTTCTACTCATTGTTTATTATTAGATCATTGTTTATTATTGAAAACATTTTATACTCTGTTATCTTTTCTTATTTTTGTTTAGTTTAAAAGGAACACACCAAGCAGTTGGATTGAGCTGAAGGGCAACTACCTGGCAAATCTGATAGAAGTTTTTCCTTGAAGTTGAAGTTTTTTTTTGGGGGGGGGTTGTTTGTACATGTTCCCCCTTAGAACTTGCTGCCTGTATAAAAACCTGATTTTATTTTGCACAGAGGGGGGACACTCTCTGCATTATCACTTCCAGTGGCTATGCCCCATTTTAGAGGGCTAGAAACCCCAAATAATTCCGCTCTACAAATTTCTAAAATTCTAAAAAAAAATTCTTCCTACAAATTTCTTTCCCTCTACTCAATCAACATGTGGCTATCAAAGTCTTGAGTAGCGTATAAGTAGCGTTTTAGCTTGACTGTCCCAAAAGTGCTTTTTCCAAAAGGCAACTGGACTTTCTCATTTTTTCTTTTGTTTGAAAACATTTTGCTTCCCATCTAAGAAGCTTCTTCAGAACTGAACTTCAGAACTAAAGAAGCTTCTTTTCAAAGGGAAAAAAAACCAACAACCAAAAAAGTCCAGTTGCCTTTTGGAAAGGCACCTTTGGGGGATAACCACGATCTCTGGAGGATTGAGAATCTCCACAGACTTACTCTCACTTTTGGGTGTCTTGTGTGCAGTGTTGATGTCTCCCCTTTAAAAACACTAGCTTTTCTGGTGCATTTAGGCTTCTTGCAAGAGAAAATGATTTCTACTTTAAGGTCTCTCGCCGCTTGGTATTCAAATAAGACGGGAACAGATGGCTAAGGCGGTTCCTTCATTTCAAAGAGGACGATGGTGTCTTTAGCATGTGCTCGCTCTGTGAAGTTGCTGTCTTTAAACCATGTCAAGTCAAAATGATGTGGGCGGGTTGGAGAAAATGTATAATAAGCCCCTTCCATCCCCTAATTATTTAAACCAAATTGAAACAGAGATGGCTACTTCCTAAAGCCACTTGTATCTGGAGAGGCATGAGTTATATTAGTTCAAGGGCAATGACATCAAATAAAAATCAAATCTTGGTGCCCGAGCACTGGGGCATCTCTTAAAAGGAGTTTTGCTAGATCCGCTTGGCAGTCTGTGAAAAATAGGCAGAACCAATGAAACTTTGCAGAAGTCTTAAGTAAAGTCTTGACTGGTATTTTGTGCAGACTGATTTAGTAAAATATTACAGCATTGTGCGCAGAGAGACGTACGGCTTCCTGAAGCTTTATAAAATCCAGCCAGGAGATGGTATGAAATTTTAATTGGGGATCAACTTCACGGTAATCTCCAGATCGACAGAAATCATGAGACAGAGCAGATTTTTAACAAGAAGATGTCTAATTAAAAAAAAAACAGGAAGCTTTAAAAGAAGCAAGTAAGGGAAGACGTGGTTTGGCTGTTCCTTGTTTTGTCATCATCCTGTATAATCTCCTTGGAAATTAATCCCATTAATATAGTGAGACTTTCTTTTAAATACGCTGTTAATAATTGTAGCACTTATCCATCCGATCGTACAATTCTGGATCCTTTTTTCTTCTTCTTTGACTTCATGCTTTGGTGATGAAGGACGTGAAATAACCTTCTCTTTGGGAAATGACAAACAGCTGTCCTTTGATTACAATAAAAAAAAAAAAGGCCCTTGCGATATTTATCTTGGGTGTTCCCGTAATTGACAGCTGTAACTGTTCCTATACATTGCAGCATGAAACAGGACTCCATATAGAAACTGGGTTGCAGACCTGTGAAAGGAGAATGACTATAAGAGGTCTGGGTCCTCTCTTTTTCTTATGTCAACATTTCTTAATTAATCTTAAGTATATGACTTTGAATTCAACAGTGCATTCTGACATGGTAACCCCTAAGTCAGCTTCTGCACCTGGCATGTGAAATTGTCAAGAGACTTTGGATGTCTTTGTGCAGCTGGGATGTGACTTTGCGTTGGTCCCCTGAATGTTATTTGACCATTACAATCTACATTCTTCTTCCTTTTTTTGCCTCCTCACCCCTCCTCTTCCTCTCCTCTTCCTCCATCACCATCCCTTCCACTTCTGGAAGCACATAAGTTTTTTTTTTTAAAAATGCCATGCTTCTGAAAGTTTTTTTTTATAGTACACAACATCTTTAAACGATAGTAGTTTCTGCTAAGTTGAGAACACCACTTGCTTGCTGAAATTTTCATCGGAATGAACCCTTGTGTGAAGTTTTGTGAAACGAGGGAATGTGTTTCTGTTGTCGAAATCCAAATTCTTTCCCATCCTAGCCCCTTTTTAAACTGTTATT